TGTTTGATCTAACATTTTAGTATCTACAAGTAGCATTTTGTCATTTCATGTATTTAAAACTAATTGAGGTGGAAGACTGTCACACTTACCCATCAATGAGGCAAGTGTGACAGTACGCTTATTTTTGTAGTTAATTTATTATTAACTGTGGTTTTCAACTATATTGATCTGATGATACTAGCGTCGATGTATTTTATGATCTATGGAAACGATTTGAACGTCCATTTTTGTGTAACAAGTAATTTTGCCCAACATTGGGTAAGTGTAACTTTTTTAACCGATATAGTGGTGTGCCTTTAAATAGATTTACTACATTAGCTCTGGATGTTTTGTAAGTATAATAAAAGCAATGCCAAGTCAAAATAAAATTTAATTCAGAACGTAACAATTTATAATAATATAATTATAATAAACGTGACACTGTCACACATACCCCGATGTAGGTGAGGTAAGTGTAATTGTATCCGTATTTCAAACAATAGTGAATTTCAGGTCGCAGAAACATATTACTCTATTAATATCAATATTATTCTTTATCACTTACCTTGTGCCTGGTTTAAAATAACTTAACGACATATCGAAACAATTAATAACTACACCGCTTAAAATTACGCTGTCTATCGTCAGTTGAGTAGTTTTTAAAAATAACGTCTGTTGATAAAATAGTTCAAGCTACGTACTCAACTGTCGGTTTAGTTAATGGCGTAAAGTTTCCTGTGTTGTTTAATAGTTGAAATTAAACCAAAAACCGCGTTTAGGCCGCATAATTTGCATTTGTTACACTTGCCCCATTGCCACACTTGCCTCGGGTGACTACATAACATGGCATATTATTTCTGTTTTTCTTTTTATTTGAACTGATGTATGTCATTCATGTATATAATAAGGAGAGTGAGACCGAGAATACCGCCCTGAGGTATATAACTAACTTTCCGCATTTCACTTATCTAAGTACCCGCCCTTACGCACTATTTCCTTTCCTGAAAATAGCTTTCGAACCAGTCTGAAGCTAATCCTAATCCTCTGATTTCTATGTTTTCAAGTTTGTTACATAGTAAAGTAATGGAAACAGTATCGAAAACCTTGGATAAGTCCAGGAATACGCTAATACAGTGTTCGTCCAGGCTAGAAGACTTATGGAAAATAAAGGTGGTTACAGCGTCCTCGGCACATTTTTTTTTCCCAATTCCACACGAAGAGAGCATATTATGTGCATCAAAGAATCAGTCTTTTATTAACTAAATTCTCAAGGAGCTTGGAAGAAAAATCAGCAGAGGAATAGGTCAATCATTATCTGGAGAGTTTTAGGCCCTTTTCGTGTACAGAGTTCACCATTATTTCTAGAAATACACCGATAAATGGTGATCAATTTTTTAACATTACTATTCAATGTATTACTTAGTATATCTACTCCTGGTACTTTATCAGTTAATTGGGTTTTTTCATAGGTTGCTTATAAAACAAGTTTGTTGTATTGTTAATTTTACTATTTCGTACTAGACTTACTTCAGTAATATTGTTTTTAATATATGAATTTTGTCTGCTAAACTTTGTCCAACTACGGAAAAATAGTTATTACCAATATTCAAAGTTTCTTTTTTACTCATAGAGCCTTCAAGATTAAACAGTTCAATTGGTTCTTTGTTTGATGCAGCGATGTTGCATGTATTATCGTATATTGTTGTACATAATTTATTTGGCTGTTAATGGCTTTCTTACAGTCTACACTTTTCATATTATCTTTTTAAGTTATAAATTTACAAGATCATTGCAGAAATCGCGGGATCTCGTCAATATTAAGAGTAAAGTTACGTCACTAGTATCTTTCTTCCTTGATTGCATATTTTTTATAAATATTGGTGACAAACGAGCACACAGTCCAACGGTGTGTAAGTGGATGATGTAGTCCACAGATATCTACATTTTTATTAAATTAAGAATCAAAACGCAAGCGTTTTCACCCTTATGGACTAAGATAGAATTGCTCGATTCCAATAAAAAGGGTCTCCGGTTCTCTACACTCACCATACAAAACACAGCAGCAATACGCTGCTATTTTACGTTGGGATTCTGTGAGAGCGTGGTCGAGCCGACCCATTCATGCTACAGCTATAATATAGCTGCAGCGTGGCTCTACCATGTGTAAATATATGGGTCACACTCAGAAAAGATGTACATTTGTTATATTTTCTTGTCTCGCCAACTCATACTTTAATAAATATCTAATTTTATAAATATTATAAAAACCAATTGCCCTTGTTGTTATATTACTCTATTAATGTGAAGAATTTTTTGGTATTTCAACTTTAATTTTAGTAGAAGAATAAATTTTTTGAGATCAGTTTTTTTTTATAAAATGCTAACGAACATTTTTTTAGCGTCCCAGTGACCATTTTAATTTTCAGAGTCAAGTTGTTACAAATATTAATATGCTTTTTTTAACATGGCTTTGACCATATTACTCCTGCCGAATCAAACAATCAAACTCGACCAATTTCGTTATATTGCGTAACGTTACGAAACTGAGAAATTGTTAAAGCTTAGTTCACAAAAACAATAAAGTTTGTAATTACTTACTACTACTTAAATAACGTTTATACTTAATATAATATGTTGTTGTGGTGATTACTCTTTTGTTGCATTTTTTTCTTTACTGCAAGTAAAACAACGAAGTCAATAAAATCAATTTAATTAATAAATAACTAAAAATAGTCTAATAAGTATTTATTTCACCAGAAGTTGTATTTTTCAATTATTGTTACTCATTTATATATATATATATATATATATATATATATTTTTTTTTGCTTTATATATTTATCTGTGTATATATTCCATTATTCATCGATTATTATCATATTGAGTTGTACTTTTCTGGTTTTTCTAATTGCTATATTTATCTGCGTATAAAGCACTAATAAATAAATCGCTTATTTTAATAAAGCACGATGGCACGCGGAAAGACAACGGAAATATAGAGAGCGCCTGAAACAGAATCCGGCTAAATATGAAGAAATGCTTAAGAAACATTTAGAGAAGGTTAAATTAGATAAATTAAAAATAAAAGAAATGAACCAAAGCCAAAAACAAAAGACAAGACAGAAGTGGAGACAATACTCTGACCGCTATTATAAAAAGAAGAAAAATAAATGGTAATGGTATGGTCACAATATCAAACGCACATATTGTAAACAAATGGAAACTTAAAACAATTAAACTTATAAAAGAATTAAAACGCTACCAAGACACATTAACTAAGTCATTAAAAAAAACAAGAAACCATGAGAAAGCAAATGTATCGGCTAAAGCGAGCAAGGATTGATAACAGAAATCAATCAATAGGGCAAACAGTTGACGAAGACCAGCAATCGACACCTACTGAATTTGACATTCAATCTGAGTCTCTCAACTCAGTATACAAAGAGTCTACGTATAAATAAAGAGCAGTTATTAAAAAAGTTATTAGTAATCCTTTAACTAAAAATTATCGTATGGTCACAAAAATGGGACAAGCTATCGAAATAAAAGGAAGAATTCGCACTAAAATGTCTTTTACAACTAAAAGGAGAGTGATTATTGAAGGAATCCATAATTTTCATTTAAGAGATGATATAATTCGTGCTACAGCCGGCAAGAAAGAATGCAAAACTAAAGGAAAAACCAAAATGCAAATACGTTTCTTAACAAACACCATATTAAATTTATACATGATTTATAAAAGAGAAGGAGGCAAAGCATCGTATTCTACACTAGTTGGATACCGTCCATTTTATATTTTACCTCCGAAATTACATAATAGAGAAACGTGTGCCTGCATACGCCATTCTAACATATCTTTTAAAATAACAAAACTTTACAAGCTTGGACTTTTAAAAACAAATAAAATTGAAGAACTTTTAAAAGATATCGCTTGTAATCTAAATTCAAAAGAGTGTATGTACGGAGATTGCCAAGTGTGTGCCATAAAAATGGTCGAAGTTAAGAATTTGCCAAATGAAAAAACCGTATGTTGGCTGCAATGGTGTACGAAAACTGTTCCTTACAAAAAGAAAAATGAAGAAGGCGTAGAGATTATGGCTTTAACAAAAAAAAATTACAAGATAAGTGATGACTGATGATTTGAAAATTTTGGTGCAAAAATTTCAAGAAGAAGCTATACAGTTTAAAAAATTATTATAATATGATACATCAACAAAAATCATTTCGAGGATGCGTTGATAATATAAAAAAATGAAGCAGTTATTATTGTTGATTTTTCAGAAAACTATCGATGCAAGTATAATTTAGAGATCCAAAGTATGCATTTTTCAGCTTCACGCAATCAAGTAACTTTGCATACTGGTGTAGCATAACTCAAAAACGAAAATCCAGCTGGATTTTGTTCAATTTCTCCGAATAAAGAACATAGCCCGTTAACCATCTGGGCTCACCTCTTGCCAGTTCTACATTCAATTAAATATCAACACCCTGAAATAAATACCTTACATATACATTCTGATGGTCCAACAACACAATATCGGCAAAAGAAAAACTTCGCTCTTTTTGATAAGATTACCAAACAGTTAGAATTTAAACATGCCACGTGGTCTTATTTTGAGGCTGCTCATGGCAAAAATGCTGCAGATGGTATAGGGGGAGTACTTAAGAGAACACTAGATATGCACGTAGGATACGGAAAAGATGACGAACACTTAATTATGTATCAGATACAGATATTAAAATTATAGAGGAAACATATCCCATACCTAATTTGTGGCCTTTGATTGGAACTATGACCGTACATCAAATTATAACCACTGATGAGCCTGGAATAATAAAACATAGGCAGGTGAGTTGTTTTTGTGGTCATGATCATGATAGAGGCAATTGTTTTTGTTTCAACGTTAAAATGCATAGACTCTTTAAGATGAAAAATATTGAGGTTCAAGAAAGCGTTGAAAGAAAAAAACGCCAAAGAGTTCTAAAAAGAAAAAAAAATATTATAGAAAAAAAGTGTTAAAATGGAGGTAAAAAGAACATCTAATGTTCAGGATATTAAGAAACAAACATTGACGTCTGATAAATATAAAAAAGTAACAAGAGACAAAGAGAATAAACCACCAAATATAAGTAAAAAGAGTATCACATTTGATTGCGAATCTTCTGACACCGATGAAGAAGTCGTTTATGCTGATAGTGATAATAGTCCCTATATTAATGAAGAAAGTAACTCGCTATCATCGGACATTACAACAAAACCCAAAAATAAAGTCACTATTTTATCGGATATAAGATTGCATTCAGACAATCAACGATACTTTAATTTTGCTTTACCAGGAGTCTCGTCAATACATAAGATTGATCCTACCCATGATAATTTATATTTATCTAAAAATAATAATCGAAATGATTCCAGTGACAATGACTCAAATATTGATATCTTTTAATAAATAATTAGACTTCATTTTGATCTCGTGAATATTCCTCAGACATCATATTTTTTATATTGAGATATTACTTTGTGAAAAAATTTATATTTGTTAACATTCCATTTATTCCTAGTTTTATATCTAATTCACTGATGTTAATTTTTTAGAAGTTTATAATTTTGGTTACTCTGAATATTATTTCAATTAATACAAACAAGACCAATTAAACCAAACAAGTGTTTTATTAGCCCAATCTATAATTTGTACTTAGTTTAATGTGTACTATGCCTTATGATTACTTTCATTACGAATATTCTCAGTATCGTTACATATCAGTTTAGTTACAAAATTTAAAATGTACACTTTTTCTGAGTATGACCCATATTGTTTATCTTTGTGATTTATACACCATATTTAACCTGGAGTAATTCAACAATTAACGACTTTACAATTATACGTTTGGTGTGCTTATCTATTATTTTCGTTAGGTTGTCAGTAAATATTATGACTGCTTTACTTACGTCTGATTTTGTAATTCGGATCAATCTATTACTGCTGATTAATTACTTATCACATCTAAGTCAATCTTAACTTTTTCCCTTATTCGGGGCTTAGGTACGTATCCACTATATGATAGACTAGCAGCTATAGTCATACTGTGATCTGTTATGTCTGAAATGTATACAATAATAATCGCTTTTTTAACTGTTCTAACAAAGAAATAATTAATACATGAAAAATGAAAATGAAAATGAAAAATGTTTTGTTACCAGGAAAAAATATACAATAGGTAATATCTCTCACTCACGAGGCGAGCCTGTATCGAGGAAACCTGAGATCATAGTTCACTAGGCATTATTTTACACATCTTATCAGACAATCTGTCATAATGAATCATAGGTTTATAAAAAAAGGCAACAGTCCTTATTCTTCCGCAAGAGAGACGTAACTTACAGTATCATTGTCTCTTTTAAAATATTAATAGTATTAATAACTCCTGTCAATACTAGTTGAGGTTTATTTTTAATGTGATTAAAAAATAAATTCCGATCTATTAGGAAAATGTCCTTGCTAAAAAAAAGTTGTACAATATTTACTGTATGCATCTCACATATCTGTAAGGATATTTAAATAATTATAGGACTAGAATAAATTAAAAAGTTAGTTAGTTGGAATCTAAGGACAAGTAAATGCCTGCAGCGCTGCCCCGATGCGTGTTAGCGAACTTCAAATTACTTCGAAATATTATTCGGAATATAAGATTGTTTTTCTATTTCAGACAATCAACGATCACTTTAATTTTGCTTTACAGTTTCGTCAATACGCGGATCAGAGGTTGCTCGCGTACTCATGATAATTTACATTTATCTAAAAATATAATCGAAATGATTCCAGTGAAAACATGACTCAAATATTTAGTGTAAGATATCTTTTATAAATAATTTAGACTTCATTTTGATCATCGAATATTCGCATATTTTTGATATTGAAGATATTCAATTTGTCAAAAATTATATTATGATTAACATTCACAAATTTACTACCAGTTATATATCTAATTTCACTGAGTTTACAAATTTTGAAGTTTATGCAACTTTGGTACCTGAATATTATTTCAATGAATCAACGGATGGGCGTGACTAAGACCATTAATTGGTCTCATCAGTCTTTGTAAAAGTTGTAAACATACTACTGAGCATAAGTAAATTCTATGTCAAATATTATTTTATTTATTATATACGACTTATAATATGAGAATTCACAGAAAATAAATGTATGAAATATACTTACGTAGATTTATTTTCTATGTTAACTTTGCTAGAATTACGTCGTCAACGGTTTACGTGCTTTCGTAGAGAAATGCGGGCGTATTCACCGTAAGCTTGAATAATATTTAGCAGCCTTTTGTACCTTTGTGAACGTTGCAGAGGCACTGGTTTTAGGAAGACAATAGTTCCTTCATTATCTTTTTCAACGTTTGTCATTATCTTATTTTGTTTTGTCTTGTTGGTGATACAGTCCGGCATGGTTTCTTTGATTCAAAATATTAAAATAAAGAATGAATAAAGATTTGATATTTATTTATATGTTATGTATAATATGAATTTTTGCAAGGTTCACCGTTATGCAAATAAACACATTTTACATTATTACATTACACATACTGCACAAGTGCCGAAGATCAATTTTTACGTACCTCGACATTTGGAAAAATAAATACAATATACTATAGCAAGTTTACAATATACTATCGAATCTGATTGTGGAATTATGCGAATAGTTTTTCAGTAGAACTTCTTTTAGCTTAGTTAAAAGCATGAAAGTAATATCGGCGAGCCGCACCGCAACTACTTTTACCTAGTAGTTGTGGTAGGGCCGGGGTAGCCCAATGTCCACCGCAAAGTGAATGCTGTGGCTCATAGACATCTACATTTATCCTCGATCAATAATTAAAATGCTGATGAAATGTCATTACGAGCATTTACAGATTAGTGCACCATTTGGTTAGTTTTTGTAGTTCCGAGAGATACCCCATTAGTCAACGTTTCCAGAAATGTTGAAGAAATTACTCCAAAAGTTTATTACTTGCATTACACTTGGACTGTGTTCTAAAAGCATCAGAATTGAAAGATCAGTTAATGCTCATTCTAATCAAAAAAGTAAATCAATAGGTATGGAGGACCGGGGTGTTAATGAACGTGAATTTAATACGTCTCTATTTTGTCCGAAAAAGATTGATAGTTATTTTAAAGTTAAATGAGAACAGCCTAAAATTTGCTTTATATGGAACTTCGCGGATTTAATTTCAGCCTCCCAAAACCACTAAAAGTAGGTAAATACGCATGAGAAAACATAAATTTAATGCCTGCGTCGGCTGCGTAGTCAGTAAAACCTTTAGTGTAAGATTTGCAAAACTTTTCTATTTTGTTATTTGCGCCAACAAAATTGGTGCTAATATCGTAAATGAGTTTTGAGTATTTTCCTGTCGTAAAATAAAATGTTAAAGACACATTTTTTTAAGTATTCACTTTGATCACTTGCAATTTCCAAATGAATACCCTTTGTTCTAAAATAGACAAAGCATTTTAAAGTTTTCTATCCGCGATCTTTGCGGTCGGTTAAAATAGTTTCTACCATTTCACAACCACATGTTAGAAAAGGAACACCAGGAGTAATTTTATGCACAGGTAATGGAAATGTGCCCATTATCGTGTTTATTGTTTTTGCCTTAATAATAAAAAGGTAATATCGTCATTATCAGGTTAATTGTTTTTGTCTTCATTCGTCTACAAATCGTGCAGTAATTAAAAATATTTTCTAGCTAAGATTCTGCCGTCCTGTGTGATTGGTATTGGCCACAATCAATACTAGAACCAGAATCAGATTCATCGGAAGTAAGTGGAAAGTATTAAAGTTAAGGTCCGTCATTTAGAAGCGTGGAATGTTTAAATTAATTACAAATTCTGTTAATGAATGACAGAAGTGCATTAGCACTGTGTCGTTAATACGAGTAGATCATGACGGCATTCTTCGTTTGCGGGGTGCATCCAACAATTCTCTCTTCCATATGCTATAAAATACACCGGGCCTTATATTAAAAGTATATATTAAGATATAGAGTCACGAAATACAAACACAAAAACCTTATAAATAAAAAAACAAACAAACTTTACTGATTAGATCTTTCTCCTGAAAATAGATCTGCGTTATTCTGAAGTCACGCCTAAAGTTTTTTTTTTAATTACACACACTTGCAATCTATATTGGAGACCATCTTAGATTACTGCAGTCGAGTTTTAATTTTTTTTTAATAACTCGCTTGTTATATTATAATTAGGTATTTTAATTATATTAAGGTTAAAAAAGGACGTGAGAAATAAAAGTAAAGTATATTTACTTAATTGTTTGGAGTAGGCATTTTATTTTTACGAGTTAATGACATTATCTTTTAATTTTGGAATGAAACAATTGCAATACCATAAGGTGCATTATTAACTACCTTAATTATTGTTATACATATAATTCCATGTCTTCTCCAGAAATGTTATTTGTCCTGTAACAAAAAAAAATTGTAGAGAAAATATAAAAAACGAAGCAAAAATAACAAGATTTGATAATAAATCTTCATAAGCCGTAAAAGCACACTTCTGCATATAAGACTTGAGATTTGGCAGGCGAATTGGCGAGATCTAAATACGAGGCGTCTTGTACTTTTGTCACAAAAATCACTACTGCGTCAAAGGTCATTAAAACTTGCATACTCATATTTTTTTCTTCTTTACTAGTTTTTGTAAATCTTTGCTACCACTACTAATTGACGTTTTGACTAAATTCGTTTCCAGTAAAAAGAAATTCCGGTTTTCTACAATCACCATACAAAATTAAGCTGCAATAAGCTGCTATTTTGCGCTGGTATTCTACACCGATCGAGCTGACTCATTCGAAATAAAGCGATAGTAAATCTGCAGGGTGACACTAACACTTATAAACACAGTATTCTTTTAGTCAAACGTGGCTTACATTTAAATCTGTTATCTCTTTATGTCAATGATAAAAATATTCCTTAAGCTGTGTTTCCTCTATATATAAAATCAATTATCTGTTAGTCTCGCAAAAACTAAAAAATGACTCGACTGATTTTAATGAAATTTTTCTATGTACTTCAGAGGGTTCCTGGATAGTTAAAACACACAATTGGACCCGGTAGGTAGTACTGTTGTCGAGATCCAAATATCACCCGTGCAAAGCCGGAACGGATCGCTAGTATATAGTAAACAAAAACACCCTAAATAAACCATAACTAGATTGAAATTACATATAAAATAGAAAAAGATCATGAAATAGACTTACGTGTGATATGGTTGTTTGCTATGTAACATAAAAGATAATGCAATCTTGGAAGATCGTTTATTCGGAGCCTCACCAATCCATAATTCTTTATTTAGCATGCGATCTAAAACGTTAAATGAGATATTATAAAATACTTGAAAAAAGATTGTTATCGTGAGAAAGTTTAT